AAATACTCTAATATTGTAATGGTGATAGGTCACTTATAAATCTAGTATGAAGGTTAAAAGACAAAAGCAGAAAACGTTAAGTACAATAATTTGTTAATAGTTACACAAGGTAAAAAGATGTAAATTGTGACATCAAAAACATAAGGCTTAGGGGAAGAGTAAAAATGTGGAGCTTTAGTATGCATTCAATTAAGTTCTTACCGGTTTAAAATAGACTGTGTAACTATAAGGTGTTTTATTTAAGCCTCATGGTAAATACAAAGCATCTACATTGGATATGCAAAAGATAAAAAGAAAGGAATCTAAATAAACCACTACAGAAAATTGCCAAATCACAAAGGAAGAGAGCAAGAAGGAAGGACTAAAGGAATTAAATTACAAAACAATTTACAGAAATTAATTAGCCAGAAAACAATTAGCCAAATGACATTAAGTTCACATATATCCACAATTACTTTAAATGTAAATGGTCTAAACCTTCCAATGAAAAGACATCAATAGATGAAAACAAAACAAAACAAAGAAGACCCAACTACAGGCTGATTACGAGAGACTCATGTCAGCTTTAGGGACATACATAGACTGAATGTGAAGGGATGGGAAAAGATATTCCATGGAGATGGAAAAGAAAGCAGGAGTAGCTATACTTAAACAAAATGGACTTCTATCCAGAGAGTGTAATAAACAAAGAAGGTCACTGTATAATATTAAGGGTCAATCCAACAACAGGATATAACAAATGTAAATATTTATGCACCCAACATAGAATTACCTAAATATATAGAATAAATATTAATAGATTTGAAGGAAGAGACAGACAGCAATACAATAATAGTTGGAGACTTCAATGCCCCATTTTATGCAATGGATAGATCAGACAGAAAATTAGGAAATATGGGGCTGAAGTGATGCATTAAACCAGATGGACTTAACAGACATTTACAGAACATTCCATCCAACACCAGCAGAATACCTATTCTTCTCAAGCACACACAAATATTCTATAGGACAGATCATATGTTAGATCACAAAACAAGTCTCAAAATATTTAAGATTGGAATCCTATCAAGCATCTTTTCCAATCGCAGTGTGAAACTAAAATTCAATTACAAGAAGAAAATTGGAAAGCTCACAATATGTGGAGAAAAAAGAGCATAATACTGAACAATCACTGGATCAAAGAAGAGATCAAAAGAGAAATAAAAGTACCCTGAGACAAATTAAAATGTAAAGAAAGTATGTCAAAATTTATGGGATGCAGCAAAGGCACTTCTAAGAAGGAAATTCATACCAATAAGCTGCCTACACCAAGAAACAAGAAAGATCTCAAACAAACCACCTAAATTTACACCTCAAGGAGCTAAAAAAAGAACAAACCAAGCCTAAAGTTAGTAGAAGGGAGGAAATAACAAAGATCAGAGCAGAAATAAATGAGAATAAAAAGACAACAGAAAAGATCAATGAAACTAAACCTGTTTTTTTCTCAAAAAATTAACAAAACTTTAGCTAGACATAAAAAAAAAAGAGAAGGGACTCAAAAAAGTAACATTAGAAATCAAAGAGGAGACATTACAACTGATACCACATAAATAGAAAGGATAACAGACTATAATAAACAATTATATGCCAAAAAACTGTAGAACTTTGCAAGAGTGGGTAAATTTGTAGGAGCATATAATCGACACAGGTGCAATCATGAAGAAATAGAATATCTGAATAGACCAAGTATTACTAAGGAGATTGAATCAGTAATCAAACACCTCCCAACAAAGAAAAGCTGAGGACTAGGTGGCTTCACTGGTAAATTCCACAAAACATTTAACAAGGAATTAAAACCAATCCTTCTCAAACTCTTCCAAAAAACAGAAGTGGAAGAAACACTCATCTTATGAGGCCTGCATTATTCTGATGGCAAAAGCAAAAAAATAGCACTACAAGAAAGTAAAATTACAGGCCAAAATCCCTGATGAACACAGATGCAAAAAAATCCTCAACAAAATATAAGCAAACCAAACTCAACAATACATTAAAAAGATCATATACCATGACCAGGGACACAAGGATGGTTCAACGTTTGCAAATAACTCAATGTGATACATAACTTTAAGAAAATGAAGGTTAAAAATCATACAGTCATCTTAATGGATGCAGAAAAGCCATTTGACAAAATTCATGATAAAAACTCTCAACAAGGTAGGTACAGAGGGAACATACCTCCACATAATAAAGGCTGTTCACGACAAGCCCACAGCTAATATCCCACTCTATGGTGACAGGTTGAAAGTTTTCCCTCTAAGATCAGGAACAAGATAGGGTGTCCACTCACCACTCCTAGACAATATAATATCAGAAGTCCTAGCTAGAGCAGTCAGGCAAGAAAAAGGAATAAAACGTATCAGGGGGCGCCTGGGTGGCTCAGATCATGATTCCAGGGTCCAGGGATGGAGCCTCACATTGGGCCCCCTACTCAGCGGGGAGTCTGCTTCTCCCTCTGCCCCTCCCCTTGCTCATGCGCTCTCTCTCTCTCAGATAAATAAAATCTTAAAAAAAAAGGTATCAGAATTGGAAAGAAAGAAGTAAAATTGTCTCTATTTGTAGACACGATTTTATAAAAAATTACTAAAGACTCAACCAAAATACTGTTACATCTAATCAATGAATTTGGTAAAACTAAGGACACAAAACAAAATTAACTTAAAAAATCCATAGCATTTCTATACAGTAACACTAAATTTTCTGAAAAATAAAGTAGTAGATCCCATTTGAAATGGCACCAAAAACAAAATACTTAGGGACAAACTTAAGGAGATAAAAGATCTCTACTCCGAAACTACAAAACACCAATGACAGAAATTGAAGAAGATACAAATAGAAAAGTATCCCTTGTTTGTGGATTGGAAAAATTAATGTTGTTAAAATGTCAATACTACTAAAAGTCATTTACAGATTCAATGCAATCCCTATCAAGATTCCAATGGCATTTTTTAGAGAAGCAGAAAAAGCACTCCTAAAATTTGTATGGAACCACAAAAGACCCCAAAAAGCCTGAAAAAATCCCGAGAAAGAACAAAGCAGTAGGCACCCCCTTTCCTTATTTCAAGCTATTCTATGAAGCTACAGTCCATAAAACCATATGGTACTGGCATAAAAATAAATATACCAAGACAAATATAGAATCGAGAGCCCAAAAATAAACCCAAGTATATATCACCAACCAGTGTTTGTCAAGGGAGCCAAGAACACTCAGTGGAGGAGTCTCTTCAATAAATTGTGCTGGAATAGTTGGATATTCACATGTGAAAAAATAAAGCTGGACTCTCAGAAGAAAACTCCGAATGACCAAAGCAGTCTTGAGAAAAAACAAAGCTGGAGGCATCATACTTCCTGATTTCAAAGTATATTACACAGCTATATTAATCAAAACTATTTGGTATTGGCATAAAAAGACACACAGAGGAATCAAACATGACAGAGATAAAAAAATAAAGTCACACGTTTATGGTCAATTAATTTTTGACAAAGGATCCATGAGTATACAACAGGGAAAAGATAGTCTCTTCATAAATGGTTGCAGGAAAACTGAATAGCCACATGCAGAAGAATGAAACTGGACCACTATCTTGTCCCATGTGCGAAAAAATCAACTAAAAATGGATTAAAGACTTAAATGTAAGACCTGAAACTATGAAACTCCTAGAAGAAAACATAGGCGAGGTAACTTCTTGACATCAGTCATGACAATGATTGGGTCTTTGGATTTGACATCTAAAGCAAAATCAATGAAATAAAAAATAAACAAGTGGAACTACATCAAACTAAAAAGCTTCTACATATCAAAGGCAGCAATCAACCAAACAAGAACGCAACCTGTGGAATGGGAGAAAATATATGCATATCATATATCATATATCTGATAAGGGGTTAATATCCAAAATATGTAAAGAACTCCTACAATTCAACAGCAAAAAACCAAACAATCCAATTAAAAAAACGGGCAGAGGAGCTGAAGAGACTTTTTTTTTCCAAAGAAGATATACAAATGGCCAAGTTAATGAAGAGATGTTTAACATCAATAATCTTCCATGAGGATCTAGCAACAGTACATATTAACTTTGAACATAATTTTTCATGCTAGGTTATCTCTAACAACATAAAATGCTTAGCTCATTAGAAGGTGGCAGAACCTATGTGGGACCATGAAAATTTCAATCAGTATAAAAAGCTTGTTCTACCTCCCAGAACTTAATGCATCAGTCGTTAGAGTTGATAAAAAGTCTACTACAATTCTAATGTACAGCCAAAGTTGTCTATATTACAAAATCTGAAAAAAGACATTTTTTTCTTACCATAGTCCTTTAACAAAGAAGACAATGTTATCATTTCTATTTTGCAAATAGGAAAACCAGGACTCTAAGAAGCTCAAGAGATACACACCCAGCTCAGTAAGACCACCAAGTAAGTCTTCCCATTCTAGTAAAATCTATCCACAAGCTTGATGAAGTCTTCCATATTGTCTTTTCTAGTACTAGAATAATATGTGGGTGATATCTTCACCCCTGAAATCCATTTCATGTGGGTCACATCAGCTCAAGGAAGACTACAGTATAACGGGAGGAAAATGTATGCTCTGATATGTGTATGATCTTCCAATCTATTTGGCAAAAAACAGCAAGGTGCAGAATACTATGCTATGCTATCATTTTTGTAGGAAATTACTGGAAAAATAATATGCATAGAAATTTGAAGAGGCAGCAAAAATCTCTGGAAAGACTCATAAGAAATGAGTATCATGGCTTTTTTTGGAGGAGGGGAACCAAACAGCTAGACCAGTGGTGGAAGGGAGATCTTTTCATTTCTTATTCTTTTATACTTTTAGAATTTTGAACTGTGACTATATTAAATATTCAATAAGTAAAAAGCCACATTTAGAAATGAAAAAATTACCATAAGAGATGAGATGACAAAAACTGAAAACTGAATAATACTGTCACATACAAAAAAAATGGAATTTGTGCATTTTATTCAACAAATTTAGGCCATAAAACCTTTGTAATTTAAATCCCTTCTATATACTTAATGAACGTATGCCAGAGGAAACTTGATGTAAATGCTTGAGAGGGAATGTTTTTCTGTGGCTCCTTTATAAAATCCTCCGTTATCGTCTCCTTTTTACATTAGGATTGTATCTGCAAAGAAAGAAATAAAATTAAAGGGCTTTCAAAACAGTCACACTTTGGCAAACACAATGAGAATGCCAATTTATCCTTAGGATCCGGTATTAAGCATCGACATTTTTACTTTCATTTATCCTTTTGACGTTGGTTTGATGACTATTTGGTAAAAATAAAACATCAACTCTAGAAAAAGTCCTGTAAAAGCATTAAAATAATTAATGAAAATGGTTTAAAAATAAATACATGTTTACACCTATCCTAGTATGGCTTCAAACTCCTTCCACTCCCAACTAAATTACAACATCTGCATAAGAGTATAATGAGCCTAAAATAAACATATTTTATAAAATTTTCTCCTATAGTAATTAAACAAATTTAACTGGCAACTAGATAGTCTTAACTACTTATGAAAAATCGGCACCATTTGTCAACATTTTCACCAAGACATATACTGTCAATAATGAAATTAAAGAATCAAACTGGCTGCAAAACAAATTCAAAAATACAGTACTTCTTGGTTCTGCCTTTACATAAATTTGGGAAAATGTTATCCTCCCCTAGTCAGTACCTACCTATAAGTAGATAAAGGAATTTTATTTTATACTATTTGTATTTGAGAGTTAATTATTATAAGGTTTTGGGCCTGCAGGAATGCTGAAAATGTGTTAAATCAGAATTAAATTGTAACCACCCATTATAACTCCTCTAAACCTCCCACAAAAACCTGATTTGAAACTCTAATCCAGTCTCTTGTTTTTATGCTTATGCCAACTAAAACTGAACAAATGCTCTGGTATTTTGTCTTAACTCAATACCCATTCATTCATAATTCAACTCAGAGCTGAAAATCTCACAAATGTCATCAGCTAAATTCACCAGTTTAGGACCCTTCTTTTGTGTGAATGCCTTCCCAGCAATTTTAAGTATCTTGTGATACAGTTGAACTGAATCACCCCCAAACCTCGAAGATATATCCAGCAAACCCAATTGAGAGGTGCTCAAGTGGTAAAAAAAAAAAAAAAAAAAAAAAAA